GATTACCCATAGGATTTTCCAAGGGATTCTCCCCTTTTCCGCCCGATTACAAAGTTTTCGACTGCACTTTGTTGCGCTTTTCATCAGTTTTCCCGTTTGCGACCGTTTCACTTTCACTCGAAACTTTCTTATTGCATACTTTTATTATTTGGAGGTACGGAGCCAAAACATATTTCATTTACTGTACGCTGGTATTTTGGAATTTCCCCTTGGCATTTCCCCGTTTTGCACTTTGTAGTTTCTCAATTTATATATTTTGGCACTTTTGCATGACGCATTGACCTAATTCAATTTCACGCTGCGCCACACACAAAACACAGGGATCAGGGGAGTGAAAAATAAGGAAAAATAATAGGACGGAGAAGAAAAGAAAAGCCGGTGATGGCAAAGAGGAAAATCAACTTAACTCGACTCGAATATTATGGGAGGGACACAAAAAAAAAATGAAGGGAGGCGACGGGCCATGTACAATCAAAATTGCCGAAGAGAAGAAAGGGGGAAAAACTAGAGAGGGCGTTGAGGGAAATGCCGGGAAATACAGGGAAAAGCGGCAGCGACAAGCTGGTCTAAATTATGAAATACACTCGCTGGCAAAGAAAAGCGCAACTACAAGGGAAAAACGAGGGGCCTGGGAAAACTTTGAAAGTCTTTGCTGGGCTGCAGATTTTTCTATTAACTGGCACTGCTGCAACACAAACAACAATGGCAACAGCGACAACAACAACAGCAGGCAACTAATGCAATAATAAAGGAAATTTCCAAAAGAAAAGGCAACGACAAGAAGAGAATAGAGAGCGGTGAAGAAAAGAAATTCAGTCGCTGTATGGAGTTGCTCTTCCGCTTTTCCGCACCAGTTGCCTTGGCAACACACAAGGCTACACTGGGAAAAATTATGTCTCTTGACTGCCGGCAAACCACACACTTAATCAGTATGATGGTTATAATATAATTCTGCATATTTCCGAATATGTTATATATTTTTCTGCGCTACCTATTTTGATTTTTTTATTTACGACTTGACTTAATTATCTATTATTTATATTATACATTATATAATTTATATAAATAAAATAAATAAATAAAAATATATAAATTTATATTATTTTTATTCTATTCAACAACAAGTTAAACTAATTTCTACTTTCAATTAGTTAGGGAATTTGTTGCAGTCTCCCCTTAACTTTGTTTGTTTAATTCTTCTTTATTCTACATTAAATTTAAGTCATTTATTATGTGCCATTTTGAATAAATTCTTAAATTCTTGAATACCGTTTATTTTTGAGTGCACCAATCTTTTCCATCTAAGCGAGCCAATTTTTAATCATAAAAGACGAGCGACAAACTCGCCGCGTAGAACAGATCCCGTCAGGGCAGAGGAAAATTATGAAAATGGGCTATGGCTATGTTTATGGGGACACGGGCTCACTTCCGGCTCATTATGACCTCGGCAGCCATAAAGCTAACGATTTAAACGCTCTAATTAGGTTCGGCTCGTCCTCTGATAATGCCGAGCAATTCTGATTTGATAATCTGGCAGCGATGCAGCGTTGCAACGGCGGCAATTGAGTCGCGGAATTTATTGTCCTGGTCAAGAAGTCGCCAATTCAAGACTCCAAGCACTGCCATGTTTAATCAAACTAATTAAAGTTTATACCCCGTTTGCCGCCGCGGTTAATTATGATGCCTGGTTATGACGTCAAAGGCAAAACGCTAGCTGTCAGTTGCCTGCTTTTTGTCTGAGCCCCAAAAATGATTAATGCGCAATTATTTGCAGACGCTCAAAATAAATTTCCAATTACAATTAGTGCCTGAAAAACGGGGGAATGAGGTCAGCCAACGGAATGTAATTGAAAATTTGGGCGAGGCCCCGGAATGTAGGCAACGGTTTTCAGCTCTCAGTTTTGGGCCAACTAAGTCGGATGATAGATGAATTATTCTGGCCACCTGTAACTATGAGAAACGGTCAGCAGTGATGGCCTTTGTCGGCCACTTAGGTACTTATTATTAACTATTTTGAATTTCCTTGGGGTACAATTAAGTTTGCAAAAATCCATTTATTTATTTTCATTTCAAATAACTTTAATTTTAGCATCATTACTTTTAACCCTTTAAATAAATTGTAAAATGAAATGCACAAACTTTTAAGCAAATGTAAGCAATTTATAGAATTATTAATTTAAATTTATAAATATTACATATTACCCATTACTAAGTACATTGCTTTAAAAAATATTGTTAGTAATATAAAAGATAGGAATATTAAAGTCCCTTTGGCCTTTAAAGTTCGAATAGATCACTGTGACTGCGATTTTAAATCAATTAAAAACTTGTCTAAGCATTAAATAAATAAAATTGTAGTTGATTTATAAATTTATTTTCATAAATAAGAATATAACATTGCTTGTACATATCATTTATAACTATAATCCAAAGGGAGGTGTATTTTTGGCCAAACAGAATGTGCCCTTCTCATCACTGGCTATCAATTCGACATCCTCAAGTCAACTGGCCAATTTCTTATGTCTTATTAAGGATGGGAGCCAATGAAGTGGTTTCGAGGACGGAGTGAAGACCAAAACCGAACCACTTAAGCGTGGAAATTGATATAAATGTGCTTTTAATTATGCCTCGAGTGACAGCCGCATCTACGTCAATCAATTAGAGGTTGTCAGCCAGATTCGATGCTGGTCGCTCCAACTTTTGGCCATGAAAAAAATAATCCAAGAACGGCAATCTATCCGCGAAATAGACGGCGAATAAATAGAACACAGAAGGGGATTCAAAGAGAGAACGACAGTTTAAACGAAATGAAATAAAATCAAAAAGTTTCTTGTTGAAAATGGCCGCATAACTGAAAGTAAATATACCCAGCAAACGAAACGAAATTGTTGCAAAAATATTTGAGCTGCATAGGGCACAGATGGTGTGGCTGGTGGGTATATTCAGGGCGAGGGGGCGTGCCATCAGCTGTCACACCCAGCTCCTTTTGCTCCATGTGTGTGTGTGTGTGTGCATTTGATTTTATGACTGTCAACTGACGGCGAATGTTTGTCATGGCAACGACAAAGGAAAAAACTTGTCCCATGTTCGTTCGCCTGTATTTGGCTTCCTGCCATTTCGATATATCAAAGCATCATAAATGCTGCTATGGCCAGCAACAACAATAAAAACCGAGTATGAAGTACGGAGTATAGAGCATAAAGTCGAGATCTCACGTACGTGAATAACTCCCATTTGGCTCAGCCAGCCAGTCGGCCCACGTTGCGTATGACGAATGAGTTTCATTTCCCCTCGGGCCACGCACCCAGCCACTTGTCATCGTGGGCCGGATTATCTGCTGGGAATTCCCAAGTGCCTACAGAGTGCTCCGGTCCAAAAACCCCGGCGAAATGGATTACGGAATTCACCGGATTGTCCTGCAATTACGGGAGATGGGAATGGGAATGGGGATGGCATATGGGGCGTATGGGGCATATGTGCGCTTCAAGCATACTCCTCGTATTACTATTTGCTTTGTCTATCATGAAAGCGATAACAAAAAACGAAATATACTTAGCCAACATTTTAAACATACGTATCATAGTCTAATTTAAGCCTTAATTGTTGACTAAAGTACTTTAGAGGTCTTTTAAATATACTAATCATTAAAAAAATAAATGAAAGAAAAGTTATGTTTTTAGATTAGCCTTTTTTGGAAACTTTTCTACAAAATGACAAAAAATCTACCCAAAACACAAGCCAATTTTTATACCCAGAGAATTAAAAATAACCTGAAAGAAAAGATATATGCTGGTTTTAGGTCACTTTTCCGCAGACGAGACTTGAATGCAGGTTTTTAGGGAAGTAACCACAAGATTTTAGAGGTATACCACTTCAAAATCGGATTAAAATTAAAAAAGTTTAGACGAAAAAATTATAAAACAGGATTTGAATGCAAGTTTTTAGGTAATTAAGCCACAAGTTTTTAGAGGTATACCACTTCAAAATCGGATTAAAATTAGAAAAGTTATTGGCTTCGAAGTGCAGGCTTTAGGTCACTTTTCCGCAAAGTCATTTTTCGAAAATTTGGAAAGGGGTAACATCATTGAAAATGACGAAGAATCGACCAAAAAAAAAAAATTTAACTAAAAACACAGATTTTTAGGGAATCAAACCACAATCATTTTAAGGTATGCCACTTTGAAATCTGATGTCTGTAAGAAAAGTTATGAGCTTAGAAGAGCAGATTTTGGACACTTTTCCGTAAACCCATTTTTTGAAAATTTGGAAAGGGGTAACATCATCGAAAATGGCAAAAAATCGACCCTAAAATACAAATCAAGTTGAAAACGCAGTTTTTTGGAGAATTAAACCAGAATCATTTAGAAGTATGCCACTTAGGAATCGGATGTCTGTATGAAAAGTTATGGGCTTAGAAGGGCAGGTTTTAGGTCACTCCTCTACAATGTTTCAAAAATTTGGAAAGGGGTCATACATTTTACTAAATATCGAAACCAAATTTTAAATCAAGATTTAAGCGCAGATTTTTGGAAAATCAATCCACAATCATTTAAAATCTGATTTCCATAAGAAAAGAAAATTCCTTTTCAATAAATCCAATCCATAATTGTGTCAAAGTACAAAACTTAACGAAACTTTCTCAACTATTTGCTCATTTGCATGAGAATACTGCTCATTTCAACTTCAGTGCAAGGCATGCTATATCGATAATTCCGCATATCGCATGCTTGCATACTTTTAATTAGCACCGACAAAACCCACACTCAGCCAAACTTATCAAAGTTAATAAATCACAAATCAATAAAAAATATAAAACAATAAAGTAAAATAAATTAAGTGTTTTAATAGCCAATAAAAATATGGAAAAATTTATTAGTTACTTTTTGCGACTAGAAGAGGTTTTTTAATATTGAAATTCATTTTTCGTTTTTAAAAGCAAGCGAAAAAAAACAGTTGTGGCACTGAGATTTCAGTCTTTCAATTGTATATTTCCGACTGCTCGAATTCAGTCATTCATCACTGTGTTCCTTGAAAAAAAGACGTGCTTAAATTTTTAAAGTTTTTCACTTTTGAAAAGTAAATAATTTTTTTTGACCGCTATTGTGAGTGGACGGGTAAGTCTGTTTTCTTGCAGTGTAGTGCCACTCAGCAGTGCCAATTGCCGCGAGTCAATTGTTATTGTATTGTAATTCGCTTTTCGAAATATTTGCCAGCACAATAACAATTTGGCTTGCCGCACAGGACCCTCGGCGACACTTGATTGGATGTGTGTGGTGGTAGTGCTGTTTAGTGGCGTCGTGTTACACGGTGTTGGTGGTGTTGGTGGTGTAGTTGTGTAGTGGCAGAGTGGTGTAGTGGCAGAGTGGTGCTGCAAAGTGGTGCCGGCTGGTGGCAATTAATTTGCACTAACCACTGGGTAATTAAAATGAAAAGTAAATTACATAGCCAAGCCAAGGATCGGAGGCATCCGCTGCAGGTCCTCGCACAAATCCAGGACACACACTTATAGTACGTGTGTGTGTGTGTGTGGTTTGTTTTTAAAAGCATTTGCTGCAAATGTATCTCGAACTTCGCACACTTGACTGCCATTCAATTTGCATAGGAAATTAGTTTGTTCGCTTTGAATTGAAGTTGGTCCCACGGGGCCAAACAAGGCCAAAAGTTGCTAAGAGCCGTAGTGTCAGAGATAGCGAGCGAGTGAGAGGGCATGCCGGAGCGAGTGAGACAGTGCTTGCACACACATGTAACCCGCACGAACAGTTGCGTTAAAAAAAATAATACAACTGTCATTTTTTCAGCAATTTCTTAGCCTTTTACAAAAAATAGTAGGCGTTTTTTGCAACTGTTTAAATATTTTTATTAAATTATTGATTTCTAAATTGATAATAAATTCAGCAAACAGTCAAGAGATTCATATAATAAATTTTTAATGGTATAATGAAACCATTTTTGTGACCGCGACTGTACTTGTGCGCCAACTGCCTTTATGCACATTTATGCGTTTTGTTACTGTGTTTCTGAAATTGTGAGTGTCTACCTTGTACTGACACTGTTGCCGGTACACTTAAAAAAATACTAATATATTACCAACAAAAAAGTAAAATTAATTTTAAAAGTAAAGCCTTAAGTGGTTTAAAAAGTTCTGGAAAATTTGTTTTAAAAAGTTGTTTTTGCACTGTATTAATAGACAATTTACTACAAATTAAAATTTACAATTTATTTACTAAACAAACATGCTTTTTTAATTATATTGAAATCGGCTGGCATGAAACAAATATATTAATTAAATAACTTGATATGTAAGATAGCTATTTTGTTGAGTGTACAAGAGAGCAGCTGCAAGCAAAGTATATGTTCTTTTTAGCATGTCGTGCGTTGCTCTCTGGATCTTTTTTGTTACTTAAGCAGGCGGCATCTGTGGCGGCAAAAAGGGGTTAGGAACACAGGGGCGGAATGAGGGTAAAAGGATACCACATGAGCACGAGGAGACGTCCTTCTCTGGGGCATTGAACACATGTACTGGTGTTGCGTCCACATTAGCAAAGTGAACGTACAATTCCAGCATCGATATTTTATCGATTAACTCTAAAAACACAAACAAAATTTAATAACAAGAAATTAAGCTAACTTCGGCAAGCCAAGGATTATATACCCTTGCAGCTATTACAACAAAAAATTAGTCTACATATGTTTAAAAAAAAACTAAACTATGTTGATTTTTTAATACTGTTTGGATCGTTCCCAGATTTTTATAAAATCTCCTGGTGATCATCAAGATCAGGAATTTATATACTTTATAGTATAAACCATTGAAAACTTTTATACGCTCTTCAGAAATATAATGAAGATAGAACTGTTACTCAGGTAGAATATCTTATAGGTATAATCACTATTATAGTTAATAATTAATTCATAGCGAAATATATCATTGAACTAGACTGTATTCTTTGTTTAATAAATAATATAATGAGACGTTTATTTTATGTTAATGTTAAACGTGTGTTATTTCATTGTTTCTTAAGCCAAGTAAATGATTAAGTAAACGTTACATGCATTCTGCGGTGAAATCACTAAGAAGATAAATTGCCCTCAGTGCCAATTACTTTGATACATTAGTTTGATGAATTTTCTGCACTCGCAGATAGCTCATTGCTAACATTTGATTAAGCTCACATACAAATAGTACAACCACAACGCCATCCTGACAGTAATTTTCCCAGCTTGCAGGTATTATTATTGCTTTTAGGGCGTTGACAGCTTTTCAAGCCGCAAGGGGCGTGGCACATGCCACCTACCGACACAACCATGAAAATGGCTTAAATGGAAATTGTTGTACCACTCAAAACCAAACGAGACAGCGAGCAGGGAAATGGGGGAAAGGGATAGGGCATCTCGGGGATCGGGAGAGAGAGACAAAGACGGCGACAAACAAATGGCCTGGGAATCGGGTTTCGGCATGTAATCCCCTTGTCGAGGTTAGACGACAGTCTCTGCGGGATTCCAATTCGGAAACCCTTCTGCAAAGCATTTAACAACATGTATACACGTTAATCGAAAAACACCTCTAGACAGCGCAATTTCTTGCATCGAATATAAAAGGGTATTATAAACAGCCCGAAATTGGACAAAGTTTATACCTAAATAATAAAATAAATATGGATTTTCAAATTCATTATAACTTTATAAACTAGAACTACTACAGAAATGTAAGGTGTTCAAAAGTCTTATCCAACAATATATTTGATTAATTTCATTGCCTAATTCTATTTCTGTAAACTAATTTTAACATTTTTTTACACATCAAACTACCTTCGCTTAAAATTTCCTTCTCATAAGATTAATACGTTTTGTTTTTTAGTATATATCTAGAAATGGAGCCATTTGTTAATCAGGAACTTCAGGACATATTGAATGACCTTGACCATCAATATGAACAGATCAAAGTCGAATTAGCCGGTATTATGAAGGAACGTGATGCTCTTTGCCACCAAATTGAAACCATCGAAAAGCTGTGCAAACGCTATAAGAAAAACAAGCAAGGATCGAATCTGATGTATCATATTAATGAGTTGTTCATTGATAGCGACGAACGATAAGTTTTATTTTACTTAAAATGTTTTATGAGTTCTTTTTTAAAAAAATTGTGAAACCATGTTAAAGAAAGCCTGTGAAATTGTCAAGATTGTCAAGCTAAATCAACAAAATTATGAAGAGAAAACCAGTAATATGAATATATCAAGCTAAATGGCATTAAATGATGTTCATTTTGATGCAGCTGTTGGTGGAGTTGATGTACTGAACTGAGCTTCTGATTATATACATTTATATATACTTGATGATTTACTTGATAAAATATATATGTACACTAGTGCTCTTTGGGTATTTAAGTAGTTTTTGGGTACTTTTTGTTAATTGTTTATGGCTGGTAAAGTACTCAATGGAGTTCCCTTTGAAAGTACCTCAATTCTTGGCTCCATTTTTCGGATATTTATCGGTATTGTTCTTGATATGCATCTAGCTGCTGTTGTTGAAGTGTTTTGTTGGTGTTGCCGGTGGAGCCTGCACCTGCCACTTTCTTGACAGCGACTTTGTTCGGCATTCGAGACAAGAACTCAAAATATTTATGAAGATGCTTGGCAAAGTTGCGCAGCACGGAGGTAACATGCAAAGTTGTGGAAACAATTTTGCCCCGGCAAGCAACTTACCCACTAAATATTCTTGGGTATATTGGTTTGTTAACGAAAAGGAAAAACATTCGACTGAGGTATTTAATTTTCGTCTATTCAAATAGAGGTCAGCAAAGTGGTCGAAAGCAATGTTGCGTGGTCGTTCAGTACGGACAAACTTTTCGACATGTGTGGTGGGTGGTTGTGGGTGGTAGTGTTAGGCATGGGCGTATTGGGCGCAGTGGGCGTGGCACCGCATGTGGTAGGCAGTGGCAATGGCAATTTGAAATTTATGCACAAGTTGCAGTTCAACTGACAAACAAGCACATAAATCAATTTATCGGCCATTTGAGAGGAGGACGAGTGTGGTGACCACCTATGTGTGTGTTTCTATATTCAAACACGTATATATTGGTATTTTGGAAGTGGTACGATGGCATTTACAACTCCAGGGCACAATTATTGAGATTTGTTTCAACCAGAACAACAACCCAAAAACTGCTCTTATTTGGTTATTGGCCACGAGGTGGCGATCGATAAAGTTTCCGACCATATTCTCCCCAACATTTTCCCCAATTTCCATTTTACATTTTCCCATTTCCCGATTAGAGGGTGTCCAATGCCTCGACTTTGGTTGTTCGCCCACTTTATCTTCGTTTTTGGCTTGGCCAACCAGTGCCGTGGGCTATTTACAATTTGCTTTTGATTTGTTTCATCAACTTTCATTAAATTTTATTAAATTTTAATTGCCATGTTTACATAGCCTCTTGCCTTTTTCCTGTTGGACGTTCTTCGTTTTTCGGTATGTTTTCTAAGCAGCCAAAAGATTTTTGCTAAATTCTCTTCTCCCTCTAAGTTTTCGTCTAAAAGGTTTCTTTTGTGAATCAAAAAGCTAAGAAGTTTTTAGTGCCACTTGAGCAGTGGTGGAAAAGGTGTAACTTTTATCTTGGTTTATGGATGCTTTGAAGAGAAATGCTATTTGTTTGCGAAGTAACAAAGGGTTGTAATTTTATAACAAAATAAATGAATATTTCATACATTTTTATACATTCTGAAACTAACATTGCTAATAATTATTCGGTTTAGGCTCATATTAAAATAAACATAAAAATAACGATTTTTACAGTGAACATAGATGTATGTTTTCTCATTAAATAAATTAATAATACAATTCATGTAAAGGATATGTGACATACATGTTTTAATTATTTAAATGTCTGCATGGGCTATAAATCACTGGTTGTAAATAAATGAGTAAAACTGTCCTGACACAAAAATAAGTACTTTTGGGTACATCAATGATTCAAAAGATCTGGCAAATTCACAAAAATGTGACTGGAATGAAGTGAGAGTCCTGAAACAACGATGATTAAGCCGATATGATGCCAGGCATAGTCATCTGCATCGCCGTTCACTTTGCCGGCAAGCAATTAAATTTTAATTACACTTTTAGCGTTTGGCCCCGCTAACAAGCTTCGGTTCCAACCAGCTTTTCGCCAGGAAAAGCGGGAAAAGCAGGAAAATCAGGAGCAGCTCCTTTGCGGGTCTCATTTTAATGACAATTTATCGCCTTGGATATGGCCAGGTGGGTTGGGACAGGTGAGGTAAAAGGTGCGTACCGAGGGCCAGCTGACGTTCATTGCAAATTAGCCGCTGCACTTTTCAGTGCAGAGATGCGGAGATGCGGAGATGCGGAGGTGCAGTCCTCCAGTCGGCGGACTACGCGTCGTATGCGCAATAAATAAATCTGTCGTAATTAAAACGCGCCCTCTGCGACATCGCCTCAACTGTCATCCGCAATTTACGTGCCCTCCCTTATTCTGCAGCTCCTTCTCCGCTTTCTCCGCTTTCTCCTCTTTCTCCATTCCTCTTTTGCCCCTCATTTCTCCGATTCCTGTTCATTCTCTCGTGCTGTTACCCATCGCCAATTCCATTTTGTTGCCTTGGCAGCGGCACACAAAATTCCCAGCTATAAATTACTTTGTTCCAGGAATTCGGCAAAAAGGCAAAAAGAAAATAGCTCGAGTGCGAAAAAATGCAGATGAACGAAGCTTAAATGCCCTAGAGCAGGACATGAAGATCGAATCTTTCAGGATACTAAATCCATACAATTTTAAAGCTTACCATAAGGATAAGTTCTTCTTCGCCATTAATGCGTTTTCCTTGAGGCTGTTCGATTGAGCCACAAATTGTAATAGTATGATGTAAATTGACAGCAGTTTGTCAAGTTTTGCTTTTTACAACTTTTGTTTTTGATATAAAAGTAGAAGTAAGTTGTAATTCAAAAGGTCTTAAATTATAGTTACAACACTAAAATTTTGATGGCCCTTAGATTTCTTTATTCGCTGTTGCAAAAATGATGTTTGCCACAAACTAAGTTATCATAAGCTGAATTCGTTAAAAATGTATATATGTAGATTGTCAGAGAAATTTAGAAAATAATTATAAAAATAAATTAATTTAAAATGAAATGTTACCGAGGAAAGAATAAACTTTAAACATTTTTAGAAAATAGTATAAAACTGTTTATGCTTTTAAGAACCTAAATTATTTTCCAGAATTATTTTTCTACCTCATATAAAATATAATATGTTCAGCTTTCAATAGTTTAATAGATAAGCAACTTGTTCCTGAGAAAAAGTTAGAGAATATAGCTTGTACGAAATTGCAAATACTGGTGATTCCCGGGTATATTGGTGTAGTAAATATGCACCTGGGAGATCGGTGGCGATTCGGTTAGGGTATGGCTATTATTTCATTTTTTGTCCACGCTGTTTTGCTTTGGCAAGCTGCGCAAAGATAACGCAAACAAAACCCAAACAAACTCCGGCAAAAGGCCAAAACGCGTCCATAAATTGCCCAATGAAAGCGTTCCCCGGGGGGCGACACATCCAAAGGACCCTGGTCGAATCTGGTCGAATCGGGGGGACATTGGGTCCAGGACACCGCAGAGAAGGTGTCCGGAGTGGAGTGGACGATGCCCATTTATTCATTTTTCATCTATCAGGGGGTGCCGGATATCGAAGTGATTGGAATACATTTTTTAATTTTCCATTCTGCTCCCAAACGAATTTTGAGAATGCTTTGTACCAGCGATAAAAACTAAACAACTAAAAGTGGTATTTAATAAATGTTTAAAGTTTGACTTAATGACTAGTAGACTAATATTACACCAATTAATTTCATTTCCTATGCTCTGTAATAAAAGCATCCAATTAGAGATGCAGCATAAATAAAACTATAGAATTCAATATCATTTTGGAAATGTATATTGGCTTGCATTTACGCATTTGTGTTTTGCCAACAATAAGAGAGCAATTAATGAAGGCTGGTCTTAAATAAATGGTTATTCAATGCCCAATTAGGAGTAAAGGAAAAACCGCAATTCTTTTCTACATTTATTAACTTTATTTATTTTCCAAGAATCTATAAATTGAAAGTGCTTAAGTGGTAGGCGAGGGTAGAGCACTTAAAAAATTCGCTGACTGCATTCCCAAATTTTCTTTCCCTTCTCCGAACTCTCCCCATTTTCTTCATTCTTTTCCAGTTGAGCTTTTCCGCTGCTAACATTTCCTTTCTTTGCCTTTTCTCTGTTTTCTCCCCTTTGTGTGGATCTCTTTCAAATCGCTGCCTTTGCCATTTGCCGTTGGCTGTCTTTCGCTGAAGTTTTTTCACACTTCCGCCGACACCACCCACTGGGACCACCCGCCAACTGCACCTCCCCCACCCCCCCCCTCTCCTCCCTTCAACTGCATCCCAACGTCCTTGGAGGGCGGCATGCATGACAGATGGCCACGCCCAGTGGAAATGATATCATTTGTACTCGCATCAGGCGGCAAGCAATTTAGCCTTGTTGTCTGCTATTTTCTGTTGCATACTTTGCAGCGAACAAGGGCGTGGCACATTGTTACACGGTAATACAAACTTACTATTTTAAATTACTACACAATTTCAGATAAGTATATAAAAGTATATATTTATTTATAAATAATGACCTTAAAATGATGCCCATTCCATATAGTCTTGTCCCATTTATCTTATTTTATTTATCCTAAAATATCTCTATACCTACATCTTAGCTTAGAATGTATTAATGTCAATAAAAACAAAAAACACATACCAATATTTTGTTAGATAAAAACTTTTAATATTTCTTTCATACTGATCGTATGTTATCGGTTCCTTTTCACTTTTAATTGTTTTTAATACTATAAATATTTCTGTTTACCGAAAAGACACATATACCTTGCTCTCATTTCAGATTTATGTTCATTTTGACCAATTTACTTCCTGATTTTGAATAGTATTTTATTTATGGTACCAACTGTGAGGCTTTCTTTTTTTGTTTAGTCTATAACCCATATGTGTTTTTTGAAGTCAGTGCAATAGACTTGTATTAAAAAGATGAAGTTTGTGTTAAGGCAACAATGCAACTTGTTTCAGTGTACTTCTTGGCCAACTCGATTTTAGTTGTGTACTTGTCGTGGCGAAATGTAAGGGCACGAATGCTCTTAATGGCTCGCGCAGGCTTCGTCACTTAGTTTGCCATTTGGCTGCCAGCTTAGTTTAATGTTCTACCCCCCCCCCCCCTCTCGACCCACCTGCTAACCCCCTCACAGCCCGCCCATGTCCACGCCCCCAGCATCGCCTGTCGCCGTCTTGTCTTCTTGGTCGAAACTAAAGTGTTTTCCGCTGCTCTTGATTGACATGATGCGAAGGCA